GAAAGGGGTTAAATCAATTTCTAAACAGAGATCGAAGACATTAGATCATGTTGAGAAATTGCTTTTGCTTTGGATAACTGAAAAACAGTGTGCTGGTGACATCGTATCAGAAGCAATTATTTGCGAGAAAGCTAAAAAAATACATGCTGATCTCATGAAAAATCAAGCAGGAAAGCGAGGTGTTTAAAGCCAGCCATTTTTTTTCATGAGAACGGATTAATCATTTTTACATTACTTCTTATGGGAAAGGTTGGTTCGGTATCCGTCCTATTCGGTATAAGTCCAAACATCAGGAACGGATTAAGGTCGTATACCGACGTTCCACTCTATTTATATTCTTAATTTACTCGAGAAATTTCTAATCTGAAAATAATTTATATCCTGAAAAATTAATTTTAAAATTATTACGTGCATAAATATATCTCGCTTTAGATAAACTGAATGAAAAAACTGGAAAAGCTTAAATAAAATAAAAGTTATTTAATCTATTCATGTTATAATAAAAAAATTAGTTTTGGTGTTATAATTTCATTGTATATTAAAACATTTAATAATTAATACAAAGTTATTGTTAAAATAAAATTAATTTAATTAAGGTTTGTGATTGAAAAATTAATTTTGTGATCTGAAATAATTCCATTAAACAAATTTTTATTTGCAATCTTAATTTAATTTTAAAAATTATTTGTAATTTTAATTTATTAGACTGTAATTTACTTGAAAAATTAATTTTGTGATCAAAGCTTGTCAAACCATTACTACTTGTGTTCAATGTTCAATTTCAACGCGTTAGATAGTTCTAAGCATTACAATAAATGTACTGTATGCTTAATTGGTTAAACCGTCCTTCCTTAAAAAGCGATTTCATTTCGAATTTCCTTGTAACAGAATATTCGTAATACACATGAAAACGATACGTGTCTTGAAAAATTAAATTTTTATACAGATTTTTCTATGAGATCATTACATCTAAACTTGCAGAAATATCTGTAACTTGTTATAAAGTTTCCTGTTAATACATTATATCTGTTTATCTAAATCAAATATAATTTACTGTTTTATGCCTTATCGTCGCTAATCTGTAGGATTACGTAAAAATATTTCATTATATACACTATTAAATAAGAATAATAAAATATTGGATTTAATTGTTACAAAGAAATAAAGTTCTGACACAAGTAAAACCTTTTTCTGTACAGAATTGATACATCTTTTGTCACATGATTTTTAAAAAATTGTATAGCTTATAAAATAAAATAAACGATTTGATTCTTTTCCTTTGTAATTTTGCATCTTAGAATGTCTACCGAATCTGCAACCCTGTTCACAATTTCCATGGGCAAAATTCTGCATGAAATTAAGTTAAATTCTTTTATATTCGAAATACTTACATTTTCCTTCCAAATGTTTTACGCTTTTCAACACTCGGCTAAACATGGTCCACAGAGCACAGAATATTACTATAAGGACAGCAATCAATATAAATAGATAAGGACAGAGTATCGCTTGAAGAACACATGCGCCAACAACTAGAAAACATCCCTAAAATTAAAAAGTATAAGTTGCTAATAAGTAATTCGAAATGTTAAAAATTACATTTTATAATTAATCTAATTCTTTCACTCCCTGTAAAAGTGTTAACTCTGTGTTAGTAATACATACAGTTGTCTGGAGCTATTGTTGTTCTATATATGTCTGGTTTTTAGAGATGATAACAACGGCGAAGTTCAAAAAGATATAAAGCAAAACTTTACAAAAATGGTGCAGACATTATTTAAGATAACACACAAATGCTTGTTTACTAAACCTATTAAAAATTACACAAAAACGAAATATGACCTCCAATGAAGTACAGTGCCAGGACGTATGCAATTACACATGCCCGGGAAAAAAAGATGAAGAGAGTAAAGAGTAGAATGTTGAGATGGATGTGTGGTGTGACGAAGGACAGGATTAAAAATGATTTCATCAGAGAAACAGTTAAAATGGGTTATATAGAAAAAAAGATGCAGTAAAAAAGAAAAAGACACAAAGTCTTGGTTGTCGCTGACATAAATACCTTAACACCGGTAGTGTTTATGTTAAAAATTAGATTACAGTGCTAATTTTACTTTTTGTTACATTTGTGTAAACAAAACACTATGTGTTATTCACAAAGATGCCTTTGTAACTGGCCATTCGTGTTAAATGTTCATTACTTTTATAATTTCTTTTACATAAATTTATACATTTAAAATTAACTTACTCTTATCAGCATGAAAATATAGAAAGGTAACAAATCATCCATGGACTTAACATCTTTAGAAAACCGAATTAAAATTTTTCCTAGAAAATACATAAACCAAAAATATTAATTAAATTAAATACTTATGCAGAACATATTTATTCGAATATGATTATTAGTAGGAATACCACGCAGTGTGGCTCTACAAATATCGTTTTCCAGGATTATCATATATCAAACATTTTACAGAGTACATTTTATCGAAAATGTTATTTTTAGCATTAGAGGAAGTGAAGTTTATACATTTTTAAACACAATTACTCCTTATTATGGTTTTATAAATTGATTTTCTTCGATAAGAACAGAATATTGTGCACTCTTTTGCAGTATATATGCATCAACTTGTATGTGTAAAAATGAATTATGTATTAATAATTAAAATTGATAATACAGAAACATGTAGCCTTCACTGTGTAATATGTTGAAGAGAAATGATGAATTTTAAGGTTTACAACTATGATATAATATAATAATTAACTATAACTAAATAAACCAGCAACGTGTCGTTTAACTTTCCGATAACATTGATAATTTTTATGGCGTTATCTGTTATCAAAATTTATATTAGAAACTATTATAAAATTGTATAAAGCTTTAATTGGAGGGTAAAAATGAGTTTTATAGAAAATTGTAAATGATAAAAACAAGTAAAATCAAAATCAAGTCTGACCCTACTGGAGGTACACGGTCCCTGTTATCTCTCCCCATACACTTTCTCGAAATTTAACAGCATCCTGATACGCAAAATTCTGTTCAAATTTCAAAATATTTCATCAGAAACCATAGTAGTAATTTTTCTAAATATCTGCATTACACCTATATGCACATGCAGATGCACACACACTAACATTCATACATTCGAAAATGATCCCAAATGTTTTTGCATTTCTTGATGTTACAAGATGTTCTAAGCCAAAAAGATGAAATTTTAACGGGTAATTTTTTGAACAATCGCCATAGTTTTTTCTCTCGTATATACAACAGCCAAAAAGTAACAATTCAAAAAGCTTAATTTTCTCTTAGGAAATTAAACTAAATATAAAATAGAAATAGTAACATTCCATAATCCAACAGAATATGGCATTTATTCATACATACACACAGAGAAGAAAGACATCGGCTGTACACGAAGTGTTTAGCCAGCAAAGAAAAAAAAAGAGAAAGTGAAGGAGAGACAAAGTTGAAAGAATAAGTGGAAAGAAAAAGAAAATAGAGAGAAAGGGAAAGAAGGAAAGGAGAAAGAGAAAAAAGTAAGAGGAGGGAAAGAAAGAAAAAGTGGAGGAAAAAGGGAAAGAGGTGGAAAAGAGATAGTAGAGAAAAGTAGGATTTCTTTGAACGATGTACAGGTACATATGGCTACAGTACTCTCTATGTTTGATGTTGGCGTACAGTTTTTAGCCTACAAGGCTGTAGTGCCTTAAAGATCTAAAAGAAAATCTGAGTGTAGAAAACACCAACAATTGAGTGCCGCCACAAATAGCTAAGGGTAGAAGTTGGTAATAAGTGGCTTTAGTAGGAAGACATATATCTACTTAATACTAACAAAGCTGAACGCCGACAAGGAATATTAATACTATTAACAGCTAGTCAGTCAGCACGAAAACAAAGCAAACACGACAAATTACACCAGACAAACATACCAACAAGTCCCCAATATTTTTATTTATTTCTTTATTTATTTTTATTTTAGTTTTTAAACGTTAATGTACTCACTAACTAAACTAACTTACCATACCCTAGGGTACAAACCTAACCAGATAACTAAAGATAACAAACCTTAATCTAATTTAACCTCACATATCGTACCCTAACCAGAAACCAAGCTGTGTCTCTAATCTGACAACGAAAACAAAGCAAATTTAGACCGAAAAAGAAGACAGAAAATAAAAATTAAAATACAAAGTTGAAAGGCAGCTATAAGTCTTTAACAGAAAGTTCGTTGTTTTGCCTCATAGCTTCATGCAGATGTGCAAATGATCGTCTCCTGTAATGAGCTTTAAATGTTTTGATGACTCCCTGATACATAGGTTGAAACAAGCTGGCAAAAATACAAGTTTCACACGTGGGTCAAAATTAGTTAAAGTTGCAGAGGGATGACCTGGTGCATTGTCGATTATGAGCATCACTTTAAACGGAATTTGTATAGATTGGCAATAACGTTCGACTTCAGGTATGAAGTGGTGACCAACCAGTCATCAAAAAGGAAAGCTGCCACCCAAGCTTTACGATTCGACTTCCAACTCACAGGCAAGCGAGCTTTAGATTTTTGTTCAATGCTGTTGGATTTTCCGAGCGATAAACAAAGAGAAATTTTAACTTACAATCACTAGCTACATTCGCGCCAACCATCACTGTCAATCGATCTTTGATGGCCTTAAAACCTGGAAAGGTTTTCTCTTCACGCGTGATAAACGTTCTTTTAGGCATCTTCTTCCAGAACAGGCCAGTCTCATCTACGTTGAATACGGTTTGGCTGGTATAGCCAACCTTCATCTATAATAGCTTTGAATTTCTCTGGATAGTAAGACGCAGCCTCTTTATCAGCACTTGCCGCCTCTCCACTTTCTGCAATGCTATGCTTATTACAGCGACTTTTGAATCGGCTGAACCAATCGATACTAGCTTTAAACTCTTCATCTTTATCAACCTCTCCGGCATCCTCTTTCAATCTCTCAAAAACCAGCTTAGCTTGAGAGCACACCGTGTTCTGATCAACAGGACAATTTTTCATATTTACTTGATTATCACAGAATAATTTTAACATTGTTTCCATCTCAGCGATAATACCGTGAAGTTTACAAATGATGTTTGAATTTAAAGATTGAACATTTTTCACAGCTTCCAGAATTTTTTCTTTACCTTTTATAATTGTTATCACCGTTGATTCCGGTAGATCAAACTTTTTTTCCAATTCACAAATTTTCATTTTTGTATCGAAGTTTATAATGTTAACTTTACATTCCAAAGATAAAGTTTTTTTCTTGTTTGATGCAGAAGAATCAGTTCTAGTTCGTTTGGATGACATAGTAAAGTTTCTCAAGTTTCCGTAGATATAACAAATACAAAAATAAATAACACAAAATAAATTGTAGCTATGCGTCGATTCCGCGCGACACGTCCGAACATGTAAGCCGAACAATAGTGTGGGTGGAGTGAGTAATCGAGAGTTGCGTGGCGCTCAAACGAAAGACGAATCGACGAGATTTGAAAATCGCGTAATACCCCGTTCGCACGGAGCATTTCGATCTACATTGTGACTAAGGTCGGAGACTGTTCCGTGGGGCGAACGCTCTCGACCGTTTCAATCTCGACTGAAACAAGGTTCAATCGCGATCGACTGAAGAATACTCTCGAAACTAGATCCAGTCATACGAGAGATTCCACAATCCCACGCACGCGAGAAAATACAAGGTGGCTGCAGAACACGTGTCGGGCTATCGACAGAGAAATAAAAAAGACATTTGGAGAGACGACGACATCTATCTATTATTAGATTTATGGCAAGAAAAAATATTTATTTCTAACCAAAACTTCCATTTTGTTTGTTGGTGTTTGTGACTAACCGCGTAGTTACGTCAGTTTTATGGTCGCGTGTAATAGCCAGGTTCTTCTCGAGCGGACTGCCTTTGCGAACAGCACGACGTTCGACTAGCGACAGTCACAATCCAAATTGTAGGTAAATCCAGATCGAAGTAAGTCATGGATTGAGTGCGAACGTAGTATAATTCCGGTTCGCGTAAGGGCTCGCGTAAGTTGGAGTAGCGTAAGTCGAGGTATTACTGTACCTCAGCGGAGGACTAAGCAGTAAGAAGCCGCTTAGGGTCTAGAAGGAACCTTCGAGGTCTAATGCTACTAAAAAAAGGGATTATCAAAACGCAGAAGATATAGATAGTCCAGAAAGACGCTTCGATATAGACATCGAAGTAATAAATGATATAATTTAATGGCCAACAAAATTAACAGATGCTATTATTGACCACATTCTTAAAAACAAACCGAAAGTTATTAGCAATATAAAGAATTTCAAATCAGTGTATAGAGACAGATATAAAGTGTATTACAAAGGACTTTATGATCATTTTTTACAAAAAGCAATCAAATTAAATTATAGAAAAGAGAGATTGGCAAACCTTTTCAGAAATAAATAAAAGTGTTTACTGCTACTCTCGCAAACTCTTTTCAACATCAAAGTCTAAAATAATAACTGGTTTGCAAAATTAGAGATTAATTACTTATTGGACCACAAAGTTTCAAAAGAACATATATCTGCCATTTGTACTATGTATAATAGATTAAAAACATATTTAATCGCATTCTTTTACAAAACAAATTATACGAAAAAGCAATATTTATAGATACAGTAGAGATCGATTATCCGAATCAATTGGAGACTAGGGTTGTTCGGATAACCGATTATACACGAAAAAATAGTTTAACGTATTCGATGTTGAAATTTTTCTCTGTTGCGTGTAGGGTTTCTCATTTCCCGGGAAATTTGCCTCCAGNTTATTTTTCTAAAACGCTAAGGCACTTTTACACAAAATTTACAATTATTGTAGAATTTAAAATTTTATATAGGGCCTAAATACTTTTATGTTATTAAATGTTATAAAATGGCAAAACGCTTAATTTTCAGAGTGAAAATAAAGATTTAGAAAATTGTAAATGCTAATAATGATCAAAATTTGCATTAAGACTTCCCGACTTGAAATAGGACATACGACCCAATTATCTCTCTACCCCTCAGCTTTTACCACTAAAATATAATAGCATCAATGCTTCCTATGTACAATCATTCAATTATTTTATTAATGCATAAAGATGCATGCACCGCTAGACATAGCTGGACATGAGTTACAGAAAAATAGATTGCAAATAAACAATTTCACTTAAATATGTAAACGCGGACAATATATAAACTTTAAAGTGGATACAGTAAGCAATGGCAATTAGTGTATACAATGCAATAGTACATACGCTACATGGAATTTGCAAAGGAATAAAACGCGACAGTATAACTGTAGAATAGGCAAATACAGTT